GGTCGAGTAGGCCGAGGACCTGGGCGAGGAGGAGGAGGAGGAGGAGGCGAATGGATGGTCGATGAGATCCTGAGCCACCTTGGGGGAATTGGGGAGCACCTGGTTGCCAACCTCGGGCCGGAACATATTGGATGTCGGCGGAGGGGCACCTGCGCTACCGACCCCCCAGCACCGGAACCCGATCCCCAGTGGGGGGAGGCGGCGTTCGATTGGTGTTTCATGCGTCTGGGAGGCTGGCTGGCTTACCTCCTGGGTCGTTCGCTTTGGGACGCCCTGGAGATCATGCCGCCGTACGTCCTGACCACCCTGTTTATCTTCCGGGATCGGCTGGTGGCCATCCTTTATTGGGTCATCGTGCGGGCCCGTGCCGGAAGGGCCCCGCGCCCCGAGGGAGGGGAGAGACCGCCCCCTTTGCAGGACCCGCACCTGGACTGGCGGGGACCGGACGCTGGGCGGGCCCCCACCCAATGAGTTCTTACAGCCACCGACGCCCCAACGACCACCTCAGCGTCATCGAGGGGGAACTCGCCCGCCTGTCGAAGGGGGAGGGGCACCCGATCCCAAAGCAAGGACGGCGGGGCAGCGCTACCCGTACGGGAGGGCCCTCTACTGCCAGTCCCCGAACTTACGCCAGCTCTTGGAGAATGCCTTGGATCGGACGGTGTTCCTTTGCCGCGCTCGGGATGCCAAGCCCCCTCCGGGGGTGGCGGCTTGCACATACCTCTACACCGGGATCGATTGCGCAACTCCCCGGGTGTGGAAGGACCCGCCCTCTTTGCCGGTCCTGCCCGGGCGCTGATCCGGCTTGGAGCGTACGTGGGGGGTCTGGGTCTCCGCCCGGTCAGGTGGGTATTCACCCTGTGCGGGCACGCCGCAGCATGGGCCTCCTGTCGCGGGCGCTCGCGCCGCCTCCAGGACGGGCGCCCCTGGGGCCGACAGGTTGATTCGGACAGCGAGGGGCCCACCACCATTGAGAGCTGCGGGGCGGAACGCCACGGCTGGATGACCCCCGCCCGGCGCCACGGAATTGCGGGGCCCTTGCCCCTCATCCGCCGAGGAGCCCCCCGGTGCCCCTCCTGGGGGAGGGTGCTCAGTGTGCGGACACCTCGGGGTGGGCGGTCAAGCGGGCGGGGGGTCTTTGTCCCTCTCCGCTCCCAGCGCAAGGCCCAGTACACGGCCCTTCGTTTGGCCTACAAGTGCACGGCTGACCCCACCTGCCCTCGCCTGGGGGCCAAGTGGGTCGGAGGGAAGTGGGCGTGTGCGGGCCGCGCGCAGATTTCCCAGGGGGGGGGGCTGTAGGGGCTCCCCCCCTGAGAGTCGTCCCGCCTCCTCGCATGAGCCCCCACCCCTCCCGCCGCCGCTCCTGGCCCGTTTGGACCGTCCCGCGGACGCCGCGGGGAGGATGTACCGGAGCTTCGTTCGACGGGAGGTGGGAGCGCTCGCCCTGGAGCCCCTGGCGACAAGACTCACCCTCGAAGACCCCAAGGAGAGGTTCCTCACCTTGCGGGGAAGGGGAGAGTTTCCCCCGCTGGGGCGCCTCGAAAGGGAAGTGGCGATCGCAGTCCCGACCCTCGACCTCCGCTTCTCGGTTCCCCTCCAGCTCGCGCGGGGGGGGGGTGGCGCGTTGCTGGCCTGATCCAAGGGTCTCCGAGCGGGAGTGAGGGGAGATCGGGGAGAGTCGGACCCCCTCGGAGCGAGGCCCCGGGATAAGAGGGGCTCGCCATGATCCTTCACTCTGGGGAGGTCGACCGGTGGAGAAACCCATGTGTGCGCCGCATGGGCCCCGAGCCCACCCCTCAGGCCGCGGGGGGGCCCCACCTGAGAAGTGACCGCGGACCAGGAGTTCTTCCCCCAAGGTCGATCCCTTCTCCCTGGGGCGGGAGGGAGGCCAGGCACCCACCCGCCCCTCGAGCGCGGTCTCAAGGGAGCCCTCCACGACCGCCCCGGTGGAAGGGGGCATGCCGGGCGCCGTCCTGTCGGGGATGTCGGTCGGGGTACCCCCTGGGAAGGCGCTGGAGACGGCGCGCGACTATTGCGCGGAGGACCCCGACATCTTCCTCAGAGATGTGCGGGGTCGGGTCCAGGAGGTTGTAGCCGACGCCGCGGCCCAGCCCCACTCGTAGCCTGGGCTTCGTTCAGAGCCGCCGCGGCGGCTGGCGGGGAAGGAGGAGGGCGGTCGAACCCGCCCACGGAAGATGAGGGCCCCCCTGGGTCCCCGCTGCGTCGCAGGGGTGGGGTTGGGGAAGGCCCAGGCGGGATCCCCCCGGCAGGGCTCGGGGGAGCAAGACGAGAGCGACGGGGAGGGCGGGCGCGGCCCGCGAGGGAACGGGGGCCACGACTGAAGGAGCAGGGCTCGGAGGCGGGTCAGAGGGGCACCCGCTCGGAAAGCTACGTGGAGGAGGGACCCGACTGAGACCTTCTCGCCAGCATGTGCCCCCTGAGCAAGGACACGGCCTGGCAAATGACGAAGGACCCCGTCCTGGGAACCAGGTTCACTCCAGGCGACCCCGTGCCGTCGGCGTGGTCCAATTTCTTGGGGACCCCGAACGTCTGCTTGGACTGGGTGGTGGTCCCAGACCGCGTGGCCGAATGGTTGGATGACCTGGCCCCAGCGGAAGGGAATGTGTGGGCGGAGATCGCCGCGGCGCCGGCCTGGGACACCGACGACGTCATCGAGCGGGTCAGCTACCGCCCCGAGTGGACGCTGCTCTACTTCCTGGACGCTGCTCTACTTCCATTGAGGGAGCCCTTTGCCCCGACGGGCCGTTGAGAGGCCGCGGGGCCGCTGCCCGCGCGGGCTGGGCCAGAGGGTAAGGGGGTCACCCTTCTCGGGCTCGGGACTCACCCGTCACCTGGCCGTTACTGGGAAGGCGAGGGCCCCCCCCGCTGTGACTGCGTTCAGGGGATCGATCCCCCGTCTCCCTTGCCCGCCGCATGGCCCCCCGGCAACCCCTGCCGGCAGGGCAACCCCCTAGGGGATAAACCAGTGCGCGGAAGGCCTGACCTCCCCGCCGTGCTTACTTTGAATGGCCCCTGGAGGGACGCAGTGTTCCCTTCAGGGGGTTAGGCCGGCCTGGCAGGCGCTGCCAGGAGCGCGCTTGGCGGCCTCCCTTCGCTTTCAGCCTCAGGCTTGGATTTGCCGCCCTGTTGTCGGCTGGCGTTGGCTCGCGCCCGCCTGCCTTCGCGCTCGCGCTGCTTTTCTGCCGCCTCATTCCTCGGGGGCATCGCTGCCCACTTGTATGAGCACCCACCACGGTGGGGGTCCCACCTGTGGAAGGCCTGGCCCTCTCGTCGCACCTGCTTCAGATAGTGGCCGGAAGATCCCCCTGCGCCGCAGCCCGTTCGGTAGGGCAGAGGTCGAGTACGAGGCCTCCATGGTGGTGCGGCGGCTGGGCAGGCAGATTCGTGATATTTTTGCCCAGAAAGTGCAAGGCGTTGTGGCACCACCCTTCAATCTTTTTGGGAGGAAGGAAGGTGCCGAGGCCCCGTTGGGCGTGTCGTGGGTTTGTTGTAGGCGGCGAGCCTTCGGCTGAACCCCTGCGTTTCGCCGCTTTTTTTCGTTCCTCCCCCCCCTGCATAGTGTAGGGCCTCAGTCAGGGAACTTGTCTTCGATAGTGCGTTCGCGCTGTAACGTTAGGATTCCGGGCTAACCGCGCGCTTGCTGCTCTTCCCTCTTCTCTTTCCCTCTCCCCCTCCGCAGCCGTCTAGGCTGGAGCTGGCAATAATTCCCTCCCCCCCACCCTGCATTTTCCCGCCCCTATGCGGGCGGGCGGCAAGCCTTCGGCTGAACCCCTGCGCTTCGCCACGGCACCACAAGTGTGTTCCTCACCCCTCCTGCATAGTGTAGGGCCTCAGTCAGGGAATCCGTGTTCATATATGTATATGTATGTGTGTATATATATATAGATATATGTATGTATTCCTCTTCCTATTTTTGTATAAGTCCGGGCGGGGGGACCCCCCCCCCCCCCCCAAAACCGGACTCCCGGGACCTGGGGCTTTGGGGCCCTCCAGACGGGCTTTGAAGCGGCCACCGGGCCTCGCAAGGCGTTTTGCCAAGCCTTCCCAGCACACTTTGGGCGATCAGGGGGGTCATCGGAGACGTCCCAGAGACCCCCAAGACAGCACAAGAGCGCCCCAAGAGTGACCGACGTGACCTCAAGATGGTCCAAGAGGCCTCCAGGACGGCCCCAAAGAGGCCTCCAAGAGCACTCCCAAGAAGGCCCCCCGAGGCAAAAATCATTGATTTTCTGTTGGTTTTTGGTGAATTGTGGGGTTCTCCTCTTTTCGGCTTCCCGACGCTCCAAGACGGCGGTCTTCTGGGCGTCCGAAGCCGCCTGGGAGGTTCCCAAATCGCCCCACAACCATCCGAAAGGGCTTCCAGGCAGTCCAAGAAAGCCCCAAAACGGCACAACACGGGTCCAAGATGGCCCTCAGAGAGCCCCATGGCGGCCCAAGATGGCCCAAAGACACCCTCCGAAGAATTCCAAATCGTGATTCGGTGGTTCAGGGAGACGGCGGTTGGAGGCAGGGTGGCCCGAGGAACCCCCCGGAGGCCCCCAGAATACGCCCAGGAGGCCTCCAGAAGGCCTTAAGAAAGCCCGAAACAACTTTTGTGAGGCCCCTAGAGGCTCTCCAAGGAGGAGCCTCCGCAAAAAAAGAGCTGAGGAGGATGGGGAGAATGCGGAGGGTATGGCGAAAATAAGGAACAATAACCATGGAGGAAGGATAACGAATAACATCATTATAGCGTCGATGCTGGAAAAAGGCAATCAGGAGTTATCGCTAAATTGTCGGCTTGACCTTCCTGTCATTCCGCCTGCATACCAAACTTCAAAGACCAAGGTGCATGGCGCGAAGCGCCACTGCAGTCTTGTGTATATATATATATATATATATATATATGTAGGCGTGTAGCCAACCATTGGTAGTAGCACGAGAAGGGGGACGATTACGGGTGGGAGGATGAGAGGTAGGGCGGATGATGATGCTCCGCTCAGGTCGTGCGGTACCAGAACCCTGCCAACCCATGCCCGGACGATGACGACAAGTGCTTCTTCATGGAGCGGAGGGAGGGCCTCGTATCCTCGCGCTCACTTTTCTGGGAGGCAGTGGAACTGCCCCATGTGCCCTTTCTGCACACAATCGCAGCGCAAGGGTCTTTCACTCGATGCAAGGGCAGGTGCAGAATGCAGATTGATGAGAGGAAGGGCGAGGAAGGGAAGAGGAGGAGTATGGGGCAAGAGGGATAGCGGGCAGGATAAAGAGGGGAGGGGGCCAGGAGGAGAAGCAGAGAAGGAGAAGGAAAAGGAGGAGGCGAAACATGAGACGGAAGATGAGGAGGAGGAGGAGCAGGAGGAGGAGGAGGAAGATGAGGAGTCGGAGGAGGATGAAGAGGAGGAGAAGGAGGAGGAGGAGGAGGAGCAGCAGGAGCAGCAGGAGTAGGGGGAGGAGGAGGAATAGTAATAGTAATTAGACGGCTACTCACAAGTATATTGATGTATCGCGAATTTACGTATAATATTAACAACAATAGTGACACCAATAACGACAGTAATATCAATAATAAGAAATAGAGGAGGATGAGGAAGAAGAGGAGGAGAGGCCTGCCCCCTGAAATCTCCTAGAGCTCTATCAGATGACCTTTTGAAGAGGAAAGCGAAGCTTCTCGGATTATAGGCGATCTGCAGACGCCTGGTGCCTTGAGGACTAAACAGATATGCTGCTGGTGCCTACTGTGCCTGCGGCGGTCCGCAAGCGGTCTTCCCTGGCCGAATTTGCGCCGACTGGTCCATTCGTGCTAGGGGCGTCACGTCCCCGCGGGGCCGAGTGCCTGGTGGTCGTCAGCAGGGTGCCGCATCAGGCATTGGGCGTCGCTGGGGCCTTCGCTGCCCTGCGGCGCCGCACGCCTGCCGATCGCCACGTTGGCACGGCGCCGCTTCGGGCGCAGGGTGTCGCAGGACAGCGCTGCCGTATGCAACGCGGGCCAGGTCCAGCCGTTGCGCGGTAGTGTGTCGTGCGCGGCGCACAACAATCGATGTCCTGCCCGCCGCGAGGACCTTGCGAGGGTTCTGTTCAGCTTATGCGCGGCTGCCACCTCAGCTCCCGCTTCCCGAGGCAGACAGGCTAGCTCGCAAGTTTCGGGGGGGGGGTGCTCACCGGAATCGTCCCCCTGTGGTTCCCTCCCCCTTTATACAAGTTTTTTCTTGATATCCCGTGATGCCGGGGAAAAACATCTACCTATGGCGTAATACTTTTTTAGAACGCCCTAATACGTGCTAGGCGCGTTCTTGCGATGGAATTTCAGCCTCGATCCCCCGATCCACGGCTGCTTGGGCTCAAACTTGAAACGGGCATGCAGCCGCATTTTCCAGCCACTACCGCGGTCGCCTTCCTTGCGTTCTGGCTTGGCTTCGTTGCGCGATCGCTGGTCGGCGATCCCGTGCTGGTGACTCCTGCGGACTGGGAACGCGACGGGCCCAGACACGAGCTGGAGGACAGTTCGACCACTTCGCCCACGAGCTGCACCACGGCTCCGTGCCCGATCGTAGACCTGGCTCGGGACTGGCCCCTGCCGCTTCCGCCAGTACCCGAAGCTCGGCGGGTCGTGGGCGAGGGCTCAACCGCGTGTATGTTCACCCCATGTGAGCTGTCACGAATCATTTTGAGCGGTAGCCCCGCTTTGGCTTTCGGGGTTGGCCCCGTGGGACCGCTTTGGGCTTGCCCTGCTCGGGGGAATGAGGAGAGGAGGGGTCGCGTCTCGAGCTTATTTGAATTCGCGAGGCGCTCAGTGTAAAAAGCGGGGCCGCATGCTTCGCGCGCGCCGTTTTTTTTTCCTTCGTTTTCCCGTCAAGTCGTGCAGCAAGCGGGTTGCAATAATCATGCGTATTTTATCTAATTGAGAAATTCGGCCGCCTTCATAAGCGAACCGAGGCCGCCAAGAAGCACGCTTTGAGTCTGGCCGAACGCACATTCTCAGGTTATCACCTGAAGCAGCGCAGCACAATGCCATCGAGATGGTCAAGCCAGGTGCGCTGGAAGGGAGCCCCGAAGCCATCGTGTCCGATGCGTCTTTCGACCCGGAGAGATCCAATCAAACTGCTCTGCAGCGGCAGTGGGGCAAGGACATTTCGCGTTGGTAGGCCGCGCCACTGGCGAGAGTCAAGGCACCCCCCACGAACCACTGAAAGACCTCGTGCGTTGGGGCAACCCACCGCGGATGCGGCAATGTTCCGCGCGGGATAATTCGAAAGAAGGCCATGCCTTTATCTTGCGCCGAATCACGCGACAGCGGCCCCAGCTGCAAAAGCGACAGCCAAAGGCCCCCTACCCTTCCGACCAGGCAACGCCGTAAGCGGGGCTGCCAGGATGGTCCAGAGCAGCCGCCGTTGAATAAAACATAAAATCGATTTCGCCGGCTGAAATGCTTCAGACACGGAGACAGCAAATCGCCGGCGCTTTTTCAGGGGCAACGCAGCATGATCGAACAACAAGAAGAGGCCACCCTCAACAGGTAGCGATAATTTGTCGTGGAGTTCGCACGCGCCCCCCAAGCTCAACGAGCTCGGAGCGTGGACCCGCGGGCTCGCGAGGTCATCGGGGGCGCCGTTGCGGAACGCGCGCGAGGTCAACAATTTGACCAGCGAGTGGCAGACCAGGGGGTGACACATGCGTTCGGGCGCGGACGCCGCACTGCAGGCGAATTCTTGCTTCGACAACCGCAAATCGCGACGGGGCAGCCCGGCGCCGCCGAAGCTCGACAGCGTCTACGGGCGATTGACAGACGCGTCCTGCAGCTGGAGCAGGGCCACCAAGATATCTCTCATTAAGCGGAGTGCGCCGCTGCATCGTCAGCTCTGATCGAGCGCGGAGCCCAGCGTGCATGAGGAGGCGATCAGCGATCGCCGTCCTCCAAGAGAGACTGGGCAACGCGGGCGGACAATGTCGCGCGAACAGCGACGCGGCGAGCGCGCAATAATCCTTTCTCCTAGATCTGCGGAGGAACATGCGAGCTCTATCCGATAGAGCCGAAGGGCATGGACATGCGTGCGCTAACTGAAACCGCCAGGCGAACAGCAGCGATCCCCATGCAGCAAGTGCGGGTATAATCCGCAATGAAGCCGCGGCAGAACTTGGAGGCGCAAGTTTGGCCGGGCCGGTTGCGCCGCACTGCCGGCAATCGCGACCGGGGGGCGGCGATGCAAGCGGCCGCAGTGGCCAGGCAATTTTCACAAGTGACTAGTCATGCGAGCTCGTCTGGGCGAACGGCGGTGGGCGGCAACAGCTCGTCGCCGCCGGCGGCGAGAGCTGGCGGGGAAGAAGGTTGTTGGCGACGCTCGCCCGCCAAAAGTTGAGGTCGCTCCTGCGCCCGATAATCGCGCGCCGGGGATGCCCGACGCAGGGCCGCCTTCGGCGGGGCAGCCCGCCGCGGAGGTCGAGAGGGAAATCTCAACGGTGCATCGCTTCCAGCCCCGCCACCGCCGCCGCCGCGCCTAGGCCGGGGCCCGGCCGGCAGCGGCTCGGAGCCCCGGCGATTCCGAAACCGCCGGGGGCGCGGCACATGCCGGTCAGGCAGGATTTGCCGTGCCAGGGGCTGCAGGAACCGCCCAGGGGCCCAGATGGCGCCCTGCCGCCCGACGTCGATGGGCCAGGGGCGGCCAGGGACTCACCTCATGGCCGCGGCTGCTTGGGAGGTCGCGACCTCCCCAATGGATCGTAAAATTTATTATGAAGACGCAGTTCGGGTTAAGTTCCGATATTGTCTTGGAGAGTGGAAGCAGGACGTGCGTGGGAATGTCGGCCCGTCGCCCGGCCGGCCCGAAGCGGCGCTTCGCGGGCCCCGCGAGGTCGTTATCGATGCCGCTCCACGCGGGGGGCTCGGTGGCATCGGAGTCTTCGACGCGCCGGATGCAAAGGCGGCGTGGGCGTTGAGCGATATCTTGGGTAGCGACGACTTCGAGCGAAGGGTTGACGCCCGTGAGGAATTAGCCAAACCCCGCGACTGCGCGGCTGATTCTCTGCGCGTCCGCGGACTGGGGCCAGCTCGCCGAACCCGACGGATGCATCTTCGATATCTCTCGCTTGAGCAAAGTCAAGATGTCTGGCAACGGTGCGCGGGGGGTCTTCGAAAAAGGGGCGACGCGCCATCTTTGGTATTTCCTCCGCTCGCGCTGGCTGTATTCCGGAAGCCATCCTTCGGTCGCAGATCAAGCGCCACGGTTCGAGCAGATTGTTGAATGGGGCGGGGCGACCCGAACGCAAGTTGCTAATGGCTCTACGACGACTGACGCCAAAAGCTCCTCGGGCGCCAGCGACTCAACGCGTAGAGAAAAATGCAGAACAGATCATGGGCGCTACCAGGGACTTACGCAGCGACCAGTTTCAATGAAGGGGCTGCTCGGCCCGCGCGGGCGCCCTCGGGGCCGCGCCCCGCGGATGAAGGGCGGTGGGGAGCGCTCGAGGCGGGGCGGCCCGGCGCCGACTCGGGGCCCGCGAAGCTCTGCTTGGCCTAAGGCAAGGGCGGCGAATTCAATGGGTCTGGCTGCGATGGCCAGCGCGAGAAATCGCGCTGCTCCTATCGGATAGGGGCCGCAGGCTCGGCGACGAGCGCGCGTTCGCCCGCCCGAACAAATCGGGCGCGCCAGCAGCGGAGTCCAGCTCTAGAGCGGCGTCGCGGCAATCGAGGGGTCGTTCGCGCAGCCGCGATGGTTGGCGCGAGAAATCCCGCCACTCTTCCCGGGCGCCGAGCGGGGCTCGCCAGGGGGGCGAAGAAGGTTCCAGGTGCAAGGGCGCCAGTGGAGGCCGCCGCCGAGGAGGGGGCAGGAAGCGCTCGCTTGGGCGAGGAGATAATCGCGGCCCCGCGCCACCGGCGCATAATGCGGGGGGCGATCCATCTAGATGCCCTGGCCGAGGCAAGAGTCTTCAGGGCAGACGAAAAAGCAGGCCGAGGGGCTGCAGGAGCGACCCTGGGACAGGTAGAGGGCGCGCCTGAATGCCTCGGCCACGCAATGCGCCTCCACCGCCCAGCCGCGCGTCGCCGGCATGCTCCGCCCAACGGGGAGGA